GGATCGACAACCGCCATAGCTCTCCATGAAGAAAGCGACAGAATCCCAATCAAGAAGGGTGTAAGGCAAAAAGACACAATTTGTTTGATGCTATTCACCGTGTGTTTACCGGAGGTATTCAGGACCTCAGACTGGGGGAGGTCAGGAAGGAGAGTTAATGGAGAGTATCTTAGTAACCTGATATTCACTGATGACATTGCCTTGATGAGTAACTCAGGGTACAAATTACAGCTCCTGATTACTGAACTGAACAAGGAAAGCAGAAAAGTAGTTCTGAAAATTAATATGCGCCAAACTAAAGTAGTGTGCCACAGTCCCGGTAAAAAACAGCACTTTGTGATAGGTGCAGAGACATAGAAAGTTGTATAAAAACTTGTCTACTTAGGACAGCTAGTACACACGGACACGACCCATGAGAGTGAGAACACTAGGAGCATAAGGATGGCGGGGATCACATTTGGCAAGCATTCTCAAATCATGAATGCAGTCTGCCACTAGCACTCAAGAGGAAGGAATACAACAACTACATCGTGCCAGTACTTACCTACAGAGCAGAAACCTGTAGGCTTATATAGGGGGTTCAGCTTATATTGACGCCGACGCAGCAAGAGATGAAAAGGAAAATGATAGGTGCGACCTTAAGAGTCGAGAAGAAAGCAGAGTGGGTCAGGGTGCAAATTGGGGTTAAGGATATCATAGTTGAAATTAAGCAAAAAAATGGACATAGACTAGACACGTATCACGTAGGCAGGATAACCGCTGGTGATTGGCGGTAACTGACTGGATTCCCAGAGAAGGCAAACGCACGACGGGGAGACAGAAAGTTAGGTGGGCCGATGAAATTTAAGAACCGCCAGTCATGCGTGGAACGCGCAGCACAGTCATTGCGAAAGCTGGATGAGGGAACTTTAAGAGCCTTTTCTAAACAGTCTTTGGGTAACTACTACAAGTACACTTGCTGAGTACCCACTACGTCATAAATAATCAAAAACTTGTTTAGTAGGCCATCAATCATATGCTATTCTTTGTTATTGTTCGTAGAAGCGTGGTAATCGCTGAACACTTGCTAGGAATTTTCGGCTATTTTTTTTTTTCGGCAGTGGCAGACGACGATCAAGAAATATGTTCAAAGTGGGTGTTTGCATCAGGTATTAGGCGATCAAGAAAAAAGCTTTTGTAATGGGTCGGAGCATTCGACGACCAACTTGTTACGCAGCTACCATTGTGTGACGCTGGGTTGTTTCTTTGACTTACTAAAACATTTTATTACTCCTCTTAACGTGATTATTTTCCCACATCTATCCTGGCTAAGGCCCGTTTGCAAATGTCTTGGGAGCATCGGCGTGGTTCTGTGGTAGAAAATTAGGCATGCTGGCAAGCAGCGGACCCGGGTTAGAATTCTTTAGGATCCTTGGTGTATTTTATTTACGGAGGTTTTCTTATTTCTTGCGATACTAGTGACTGATACCAGCGGCGGCAGCGGACAACTACGGTTCTGATCTCACAACAGCTTTCACTGTAAAAGTTCGCTAGTATATCTTGGAAGCAGAAAGCACAACATCTGGTAGATTAGCGGATCTCAGGAGATGCCTTTGCCCTGCAGGAGGGAGGGGTAGTGGCTGATAATGATCATTCCTAATGGTCCCAAGATGCTGTAAAGCTTTTATTAAAAGCCCATACAGTAGGGATGACGTGCTTTTAACATTTTCTACACCTTAAGACAATTAAAAAAATTGGTAGATCACACGTACCTGGGCATTGTCATTATGCGAAGCATGCTGAATGAAAGTTACCGTGTTGCAATTTTTTTATTTAGCGACACATAGTTAATTGACGCCAAATACATGTAAAAATGTTGCATTTTATACAGCCTTATTTGGCATATCCCTGTTCATATATATGTACAGACAAATGTATATACATACATATGTTGAAGAGCACTGCAGATTTTAATATAACCAGTTGTTGGCACTTGCGCAATGATGCCAACTGGAACATATGTATTAGCAACACCAGAAGCTGATATGAAGCGCTGATGATCGCGAAGATGCTGGCCCTGAACACTATACTACGTCAATCAACTTCAGCACATGGCAACTTACCACAATTGACGTTAACGAATCCTGTTGAAATATCCAAAATCAATCAAAAGAGTACATATGTAATGTTTAAAAAATTGGGTAGGCAGCACTATAACCAATATTGACGTTTAACAAAGATTATCGTCTATTCGATCGAAAAGTACTTGCGAGATCAGGCGTAGCTCTGTGGTGAAATGCTTCACTGCCACGCAGAATGCTTGGATTCGAGTCCAGCTGGGACCCTGACATTTATTATTTTCATTCATCCGGTCGACGCTACCGCAATGTGGGATATTTCTTAACGCTCGTGCGTCAAAATTGCCCATGTGTGTTTTCGTCGTTCCTGGGTAGATACTAAGGGTCAATAACCTGTGGCACATACCCGCACTCTTGGGTATATGCCGCTGTCTGGCTGGATGTGTCTGATGACGTACGTAACGGCATTGTAACATTATCCATGCTTTGACGAGCGCTTTTTATTTGTCAAACTATCTTTCATGCTATGCTAATTTTGTTCACGTCAAGTATAAGGGTGACCACATGAGCACGCAAATGTAACCGGCTAGATAGATAGATACGCTCAAAGCCGCCGCAGTTCGCTAAGAAATACTTCGCATTTAAAAAGATGAGTGAAAAGCTCACTGACAACCAAAACTGGTGAGCGAACCGAAAATTGTGGACATGATATGGAATCCTCTAGAGCGTGTACACCAAGGATACATCATTTCATCATTCCCATCGCTGGTATAAGAGATCACGCATTGGCTTATACCTAAACCTCTTAAAAAGATCTGAAGTATACTAAACTTAAATCATGGCATAAATATCAATAGTAACTTGTGTATTAAATATCAGAAGCCCAACACAACACTGTCGTAATACCTTGCAGGCCATCGACTGCATCGTAACTCTGCCTCTTGGCGATAAAAAGCGTTTGAGTATAACTTGTTCTTTCATGGCCCAAGGAACAGATACCATACACACCATAAAATAAGCACTATTGCTCCTTTTAACGTTTCATAGAGTAGTTTCACAAAAACAAGTAAAGATCAGTTGTATGACATGGATTATTCACTGCCAGAAAGCCCCCACTGGAACCGCGTGCTGACATGCTGAGATGAGAAGGCAAGGTATAGGCATGCTTCCAACTACCTTGTCGTTGTACAAAGACTGATCTTCTGAAACGTTGTGCCTTTTTTACTAGGAAGCAAAACTGCGCCACAATGTATAAGCCAAATATTTACTTGGACCACTACATTACGAAATCTAAGCCACAATATGAGTCAAATAGCATTTTTTCTCAACCTTGCTGCAATATTCTGACAATGTCTTTGCTTTATTCGCTTCCAAAGTATTTATTCATTAATTTAGATGCCTACTAAGAGAAAAGATAACGCGAAAATTGTAAATATATATGTGGTAAAAAAAATTTGTGCTTTATGAAAAAACGCTAAACACGCAGCAACGTGATATTTTTTTGCCGAGGTGAGAACGAAAGAAAGTTGAAACAAAAATGAATTGATTCATTAATATGAGGAGTAACGTCTCAAAACCACTATATGATTGAGATACGCCATAGTGGAGGGCTCCGTAATTTTCAGCCACCTGGGGTTCTTTAACGTGCAACCAAATCTGAGCACACGGGCCTACAACAGTTCTGCCTCCAATTGAAATGCAGCCGCCGCAGCGGGGATTCAAACCTGCGAACTGCGGGTCAGCAGCCGAGTACCTTAGCCACAAGACCACTGCGGCTGGGTAACGAAAGTGAACAAACTACCACATCCATGAAACACTATGGCTTTGAGATTAGGGAAAAATGTTTCGTGTTGATTTCTGAAATCAGTAACATTATATAAATTATTTACCGTTACACACTGTCACTTCGGTGCTCAAAGTTTGCATTGCCCTCATGGCAAAAAAAAATTTTGGGCCAAATATGAAATTTCGATGAATATTTTTCACGTTCACATGTACCTGCATAATTTGTTCAGCTTGATCAAACGTGGTGGAAAATAATATATATATATATATATATATATATATATATATATATATATATATATTGCACGCATTTGCCATTACTCTGTTCTTGCAAATTACATGCGTGTTGCGTTGAAGTTTATTAAGCTGACACAAGGCTTTGTGTAACCTTATGCTTGTGCACTTTTAATTATCTTTATTTCTCTGTCAAATTCAGCGTTAACAATATAATAAAGCGAAATAATTATTCAATGCAGATTGCCAAAATTTACTCTGAGAACACTCATGCGCTTTATTTCACCATCATAGGTCTATTAATAGAGCTGGAAATTGAAGTCAAACATTTATTAATAAACTTCGTATAAAATCTTCGTATGTGACGACATTCACTCGAGTAAACTTTGTGAATCTTTGTTAAGTCTATGAAATCCTCAGTGAACAATGTAGGTAAGTTTTTTTTTCAAGTTAGGACTTTAGAAGCTACGTAGGGCCTAGTCCGCAAAATGCCCTGAAAGTTTACGATGTCGTGGTAATTTGTGCGGGAGTTTAAAGACGGTGTCACCCACTACATTTTCTTTTTGCGCGTTGTTCCTCGTCCCGTGAATGCTGAATTTGCAATTTGGGATGAGTGATTTACTTATTTAGCTAGACATTTTTTCTTTAGCGTGTTTTATTTTGTTTTAGGGCAAACAATTTATTTGAGCATCTATACGCATGTTCACATTTTCTGAACTTTGGGTTCAAAAATTACGTTCAGCTATTTATTGTCCTATATTGATTGAACCCAATTTTTTATGTATACAGACAGTCAATGTGTGACCACCACTACAACTTTTTGGCACAATTTCGGCAATGTTTTTTTATTAGACGATGGCACTTGAGGGCTGCATCCACCTTGATTACTTAGTGTGAATATAAATAGCGTATTGAATAGCTTACAAAGCAAACTCATCCACTGGCTCCTCTTCTTCCACCTTTCGGCAATTGGGCATTTTCACCTATAACAACAACAACAATAAAAACATACAGAACAGCAAATCAGGAGAATTTTTGTGAAGTACGCACGTGTGCTATAATAGGTCATTTCAGTAAAACAAGCCCGTTGGGTACGTTGACACGCATGACACAAAACACTACAATTGAATTCATTTACAACACCAGCTTTTCAGAACAAGCGTAAAGTTGGCATAGTTTGTGCTGCAGAACAGTGTGTTTTAATCTTTGTTACAGAACATGCAACACAGGCTGAAGAATACGCGCAAAAAATTCAGCTTTTTTTGTTGCTGGGGTAAGGGTACGCCGATAGAGTGAGATGGTGACATAAGGACGTTCATTTTCTGATCATCAAATTGAGAGTGCAAAACGGTCATGTCACTTGCCGGTGGCAGCTTTACCTGCATGGCATTGTACTCGTTAACAGTCCAGTGAACACTGTCAGGTCTCTACCACCAATGTTAGTTTTGAAAGTCATTTTATTGTAACTGAAGCATTCCATGGCCACTGTGACGACATGACAAGCTGGCTTCGACGTGCTACCGTCATACCCGATGGTGCCGCGCACGTTAGCCTATCTCCTGTGCTAGGCAAATGGCTTTATATAAGTCTTGTGAACCTGATCTAAAACGACATCGCGACGATGACACTTCGTCGTCCAACTGTCGTAAAAAGTGGATCCCAGACCGATTCTATGTGAGCACGGTAATCTCGCGATTTGTGAGAAAAGCCAACATCGCCCCGCAAACGGCCAACAGTGTGCAGGCTACTGCTATGACGCTGATGTTCTGCTTGTCTCCTTGATCACTACGACAATCACGAGAAGGGCATAGTAGTAATCTGCTTGAAACACGATGGATGTAAAACTTCAAGTCGCAAGCCAAAACATTTAACACTGCACGCATGTCAGGCAAGCAACACAACAATTGAGAGCAAATGTGCGACCGACCGCAAGGAGGTTCGCTACCGGACAAAGCGGATGTGGCACGTTTTCGCACGACCATATGACAGCATATGCTTCAGGTGTACCCCGTTAACAGTGCACGATGAACTGCGGGTGTGCCTGAGAGGCTCGGAAATGAGCAGGGAATTGCTTTTTGATGTTGCAGCGCTGTCTGGATATATCTATTTCATCATTTTTTTATCACCACTCGTGACCCCTGCATATATCTGCCAGTTTCTGTGTTGCTAGCATAAAATAAAAGCAGTACGAGTTACTGCAGACGTCTACATCCGCAGAACCCAATGACATTTCTTAGAAAACTTTTGCTCGCCCAGTTTTGAAAAACAGCAGAAGCAGCAGTTCGATCTGTCATTGTCCCACACGATCATTTTAATGAAGTATGTAGGAAAAGTGATGGAAAAATAATTGTCCGACGTCTTTGAAGGATTCTAAAGTGTCCACGCAATCTACCCAGGTGAATAGGGAGGCTGCCGATTTGGCCGCCTATAGATATTGATAATGTTGTGGACTTATCATGGTTGCAAGAAATAAAGATGTATGCCTGCGCCTCCTTGTCCAGCGACTTTGAATATTCCTACACTGCTCAAGATATTTTTAAAACATCTTCACTGAACAGGCGCGTCGCCTTCAGTACGCCCTCATGGTGACGCAAGCTAAACGACAGAAAATTGTTAGCACCTGTGAGTGGGCAGTGTAAACCGGCTCAGAACTTTTTTTCGTACAGTATGAATGTCTCATCTTTTTAAAAACAGCTAGAGCCTTAAATTAATACTACTTCAAGTGGCTTAGAGCAAACAGTCGTGTGTTGAAACTTCCGAAAAAAACCTTTTGCTTCTACAGCGAGAAACAAAATATATACGAGAATAAAAGAGGCACGTACATACATGCGTAAATCCACTGAAAAGGTGGCATTCGCACACACAACACAAAGTGATAAGCTTATAACATCAGGAAAAATGCGTGGGTGTAACGTGCTCAATCAAGCAACTGTATATCAGCGTAAGGCAATGCGATATAAGTAGGCATGGCGGTTGGTCTTACAGTGTTCGATGGGGTGATGCCAATGACGCACGGACTTAGTAAAACGCAACCTGGACGGCGCAAGCAGTCAAATAGAGCATCTGCACACTTAAACTGAACTATGTGCACCTGCCGTGATAAGCCTCAGCCCAGCGTAGAGCGGCACCAGGTGGTACAGAAAGTTAAAACAGCCCTTCCGGTAAGCAGTGCAGTTGACACGGTGCGTTAGGATGCGCCGCGGCAGAGCAGTATAATTATTCTGCTCAGCAGCTCGCTCGACACTCAAGGGTTTAATCCCCGCCACCACGGTCGCATTTGAAATACTAGAGACTCGTGCACTGCACGATGTCAGAGCACGTTAAAAAGCACGAGATAATCAACATTTTCAGAGCCTTCCACTGTACGGTGACTCTTCAAGTCATATCGTAGTTTGGGGTCTTTAAACCCTAGATATTACGAGGAGTTTGAATTTTGCGCACAGATTATACGTGCCCTTTGAAGTTTCCATTCACGAGTAGTAACTGGAGCAGCTGTTAAATGTTCGCGAGTGGCACTTGACCAATAAAACGCACATTAAAACATTAAAAATCATTAAAGCTTTAAAAACGCACATGTGCCGGCGAACCAACTAAAGCAGAACCTCATACGTGCGAAGGACCGATTGAAGAACTGAAGATTTTTGAGGCTTTATATACAAGATACCATGCAAAGGTTGTGGCGCATCCTATATTAAAAACTAAAGCTTTTAAAACAAGAAATTAGCAGCACTAAAATGATGTCAATGAAGGAAATGCACGCTTGCACGCCTTGGCGAAGTATCCCTTGAACACTAACCCCATCATCGACTAGGATTCTGCGCGCATAATTGCGACAGAGAAGCGCATATCGAAATTGCTGCTTTTGGAATGGATGCACATTCGAACAACTAAAAACGCGATTAAATGGAGGCGGGGTGATCTCCCCGAGATATACATGCTCAGTTTCCGCAACCAAACCCATAAATAGCCACGCCTACATTCATCATCCACATTGTGAACAAGGAGCTCGTAGTGGCCCTGAAACGTAAATATACGATTTTTTTGGACACGCTGAGTGCGTGTTTTATTTTGCCTCAGTTGGGGTTGCAGGGTTCGCTATCAGTGTTTGTAACAATGTAATGAACAATATACATATGAACACATATGGCTAAGGAGTAGCCTGTTGTTCGAATACGCCGACGGCCGCTACTTAGGCACATCGTCGCACCGTATCGTGCACGTCAAATAAACATAGGTATCTGCTTTAACGCGAATGCTTACGTTACGTTGAGCCATAAGCTACACTTTACACGCCTGTGTACTTGACGTGCCTGGTAAACGCAAGGTATCGGCACAACTACTCAGTTTAGACAGAGATGTAAATTCACCCTCTAATGCTCTGCTGCTATTCGATGACTGCTTCGTATGAAATCAATTCTCACTATATATGCGTCGGATGTGCCGTTTTTTAAAGCTTTGGGCTACCTTATTTGCAGGTTATTGTTTAATTAAAAAGTAATTTGTAGCCAGCATGTGTACAGCAAAGATATTTACTTCCTTGAAGAGAAACAAAAAGAGAACATCCTACATACAACGTGCACCATAGCTGCGGTTACGCACGTATAGCTAACAAGAATGCTTATTTTACTCTATCTTCTGTTAGCTAACCAGTTCTTCGTCCCTTATAGACTATGTAAGTTAAACGTGATACAGATGGCGCAAAAAGCAGCCAATTTTCTTCTATTGGGCGTACTGGTTTGTTTGACTAATGAGAGCATTTTCACTCAAAAAAGAAAACAAACCAACCAAATATATTTGTAAATTCATCGAATGTTTAGCCTAGCTTTAGAACAATGATGTCTTAGTAGGTCTAACGTCTTGGGCCTATCTGCGGTACATGGGAACATTTTCTCCGTAGATTATGACTGATTATCAAGAGAATCACAGAAATTTGAGAGAAAACAGCCAACTACAGACACGTTATCCTATTCTTCTCTTGTTAGAGCCCACTGCTGCCTTGTGTAATTCCCAGATTACTTGATCCAATTTAATATTCCTATCACTATTTCAAAGTCAAACCAGCCTGTACCGAACGTCGCAAGTCGCAAATAACGTGTACGCTTCACGTCGAAATATGAGATCTGGACTAGATGCCCGCCAATGCACCTGTCTTAGTTGATATCCTTTGAAAGAAACACACAGAAAAAAAACGTTGCGATGTAGCTGTTTTACTCTAACAACAACATCATCTACGATGACACGGCGATCAAAGAGGTGCTAGACTTTCTTAATTCCACATGCATTTAGAAGTATGTGACAACTGTGGTGTCTGGTAGAGCACCCCATTTGATTAAGCCGATAGTGCGCACGCGCATGAAACGAATAAAAAGCATGCGCCGCATCTAGCCCGGGGCTTATCTGGACAGGGCCACCGAACGATGAACATATGGCAATAAACCTCACTCGCTCCCAAGAAACTTGTGTGCTCCTCTTTCGCATGAACCGACGCTGACACAACAACTGGCGACGAAGATGCAATTTTGAAGCCGTAGTTCTTCAATTTGGAAGGCAAGTGTTTCCAATTTTGGCTCGGTGAACACTCTTAAAAAAATGGAGTGAGTTCTCTCCATTTAGGGAGGAACTGCGATGCCCCCAATGTTCGTCTTTGAATAGAGAAACGTTGCTTTCTTTGCCACGGAGAAACATGTTCCTTCCTTGAAAATCAACATGGATGCTGTAACCCGGCTGGACGTGCAGCCATCAGATAACACCTGTAATCACGTGACATGTTACGTCACGCATCTCTTTATATTGCACTAACCCAGTTGCAATAAAGTTTTCTTCACCCGACTGACGGCGTCGCTACATGGTGGCGGCGAAACCCACCTATAGCATCAATGGCGTAAGCGTTATTACCAACCCCGAAGCCCATGGAGGCGTCACAGGACTCTTGGATTGCCTGGAAAACTTGGAAAAATAAGTTTCTGCTGCTTTCTACTGCTACGAAGTTGAACACACAGCCAAAGGATGTTCAAGCAGCCAATTTGCTGGTTACCATAGGCGAAGAAGCTCGAAAGGAATACAGTACCTGCAAGTTCGAGGAAGGGGAAGACAGAAATGATGTGGAAGTCCTGATTAAGAAATTTGAAGAGCACTACAGGCCCGCGACCAACTTGACATTTCAAGAATTTCTTTTTGGTTCAAGAAACTAAAAGACAGGTGAACCATTTAACGAGTGGCTATCAGAACTGCGTGTGTTAGCGAAGAACTGTGAATTCGGGAGTCTTGAAGACCGCATGTTGCGCAGCCTAATCAATCTGGGCACAACGGATAAGAACCTGCAGCAAAGATTGATAGCGGAAAACCCGACGTACGAAAAGACCGTCGACATGTGCCGAGCGCAGGAACAAAGCAAAGAGCACTTCAGAAAAATAAGTGGAGCCACCGGATCAGGTGAAGGCCCTCTAGTAAATGCAGTCGCAATAGGAAAAAAATCGTTGCTACAAATGTGGGGGTCAAATGCACTGCAGTGACATGTGTCCAGCGAGAGAGAAAACATGCCGAAAGTGGGGAAGGTTAAAGCATTTTTGCTAGAGTATGCAGGTCATCCAAGTACCCGCAAAACGTCAGTCAACAAATACGAGATCTGCGAGCAGAAGACAACGATTTTTTTCTACAAACGTTGACTGTCGGCACGATCGCCAGTGATGACTGGAGTGCAACTGTGTACATCGAGGGCTATCCCATCACATGCAAGCTAGATACCGGTGCAAACTGTTGTGTAATTTCAAAAAGCGATGTTTCAAAATTGCCATATAAAGCTCAGCAAGCTTGCAACGTTAAGCTCACAGCATTTTTTGGGCACACAACAGCCGCGCACGCACAAGTTCAGTTGATGCTTTCAGCAAATGACAGAACCAAAGAACGAAAATTTTTCATTGTCGATCAAGACATCCTTGCCACTCTGAGTGGTGCATCTGCTGAAAGTCTTGGCTTCATCTGCCGCATGCGAGACCTACAGCATGAACTGCACCCGCCAGTACAATCTTTTGCAGACGTCTTTGAAGGACTTGGGCAGCTAAACGACTTCGAGTATGACATGAAGCTCAAGCCAGACGCAGTGGGAGTCGTCGTTCCGGCGAGAAGAGTTCCCGTAGCTCTTCAGGACAAAGTCAAGGCTGAGCTGCAGTGCATAGAAGCCCAGGACGTCATCGCAAAGGTAACCGAGCCAACCGAGTGGTCTAGCTATATGGTAACAGTTCTAAAGAAGGACAAGGTTAGAATTTGCCTGTATCCTACAGCGCTTAACAAAGTGCTGCTGCGGGAGCATTATCCAATGCCAACCTTAAAAGACGCAGCCTCGCAACTATCCGGTGCCAAGTACTTCTCAACGCTTGATGTGGCGTCAGGGTTGTGGCAAATTAAGCTAACCGAATCAAGCTCAAAATTCTGTACGATGAGCACTCTGTATGGGCGTTATCGGTTTCTTCGAATGCCCTTCGGCATCGCGTCTGCCCCAGAAATATTTCAAGCAGCTATGCATCGCATGCTGGAAGGTTTGCCGTACGTAGCCGTGATAATGAATGACATATTGCTTTGGGGCCGCACAAAAGAGGAGCACGACAACAACTTGTCACTGTTGTTGTTATGCTGCCGTGAAAACAACCTCAAGCTTAACCTAAAGAAATGCACTTTTTTGCAGCCTGAAGTCTGCTACCTCGGGCACATTCTTAGCACTGAAAGCCTCCGCCTGGACCCAGGTCGAGTGAAAGACATACTGAAAATGGAAAAGCCAAGGAATTGTAAGGAATTCAGTCTTTTTAGGCATGATCAATTATGTACAGCGCTTCATTCCTAACATGTCTGATGTGACAGCCCCGCTAAGAACATTGCTGCACGAAAACATAACATGGGTTTGGACTGACTCTAAGCAGCGAAGTTATGAAATGTTGCGTGAAAGCTTGGCAAATGCACGAGTTCTTGCTTTCTTCAACGCAAATAAGCCAGTAACCCTCTCGGTTGACGCCAGCCAAAAGGAAGTTGGCGCTGTGCTTATTCAAGACGGCCGTCCTGTCGCATTCT